ATAAGTTTAATCCTACTTATAGGTGTAGTGTGCTGCAGGTCTTTTCTATTAGCTAGCCTAGCTATCTTGTTAATATATAAGGCCTATAATAGCTAAATTATTTATTACTATTAATCTCTAATAATCTTAACTTCTAGAAACTATTATAGGTCCTTGCCTTCTATTAGGGTATACTTCTCTTATAACTAGTCTACTACACGCTGTGCATCTGCTTTAGAGCCTTTTCTGTACGCAATAATAAGGTTGTCTATGTAAAAGAAGACAAATATTCTAGCTTTAGTTATGCAGTAGGGTTTTTATAGTATAGCTAAGAACTTAAGGCCTTTAAAAGTTATTATAAAATAGTATTACTAAAGTAGAGAAGAAATTTATAGGCTATATAATGCCTTTTAAAGCTTTAGTATTGTACCTAGTTTCTAATAGCCTCTTAGCATCTGCATGTAGATGTTGCGGTTAATTGCTGCATGTACAAATGCGTTAGTTATGTTATATTATTTAAGCTCTAAGTTAAAGCGTGCAGATATTACTATTAGCATTTAAAATAAGCGTCTTGCTAGGGTAGCAGCGTAGGTATCCTATGTAGTAATGTTTCTCTATTAATTGCTGCAGACTACTAGTTGTGCCTTACATCTTTGTAATCTATAGTGCTTGTTAAGCTTGTAAGTGTACACCTACAAATAATCTAGAATTTGCTGTCTAGCTGCCTTAATTAGCTTTGTTTAGACCTCTGTCTAAAATTTTATTATCTAATAACTATCTAGGTGCGTTCTTTCTGCTGCCTTAAACATCTTATATAAAGAGTGCTTCTCTAGTTGCTTTTAGGTTAATAGCAGAGGTAGCATCTAGCTTTTATAAGATGTCTTTTTTTTAAATAGTATTCTTATTAATGCTGCTTTATCTAGCGTCTTGCTACTATGCTTTCCTACACTTTTAGATCTTATGCTAGCTATAAAGGCTGCAGCTTATAGTATAGTCTTTAAAGACTTTATTTAGCTTAGCTTTAGTGCTGCTTTAGCTATTAACTATATAAGTAATGCTATAGGTGGCAAAGTATTTAGAGAAGATAGATAGTTATCTCTAATCTTTCTTTCTTAATAGTAGCCTAGTAGATCTACTTTATTAAAATTTAATATATTATTTATAGTGTTGTTTTTATAGAATAACTTTGTCTTTAGCTAATAACTAGGTGTTAAAAGCTTAATTATTTTAATGTATGTAGTAATTTTCTTTATAGTGTTGTGTATAAGGTTATCTATTTAGTCTTTAAGCTTACTACTAAAAATTAAGTGTTTATTAAAAATAATATTATGTGTATAAATTACTTTTGCTAGCAGTAGTATCTATACACAGTAGATATTTAATAATTAGTACCTAACTAGATATCTAATCTACGCCTTTAGGTCTAGCCTCTGTAGCTTAGATTTATTTTAATGTGTGTTATTAGTTATTATAAATGCTTTATAGCTATAAGCTTTTAGATGTGTAAAGCTTAGCTTTTAAATTAACATAATAACTCTATTATTTAAAGCTGCTTATGTAAAGAAAATCTTGTATAGTGTTTTCTAGTTGTTAGCATAGTTTAGCGTCTAATTATATAGGTATACGCTAGCTTTAGTAATGTATAGCTATATGTTCTATAGTAGGTTAGCATCTAGTTGCATAGCCTGTAACTTCTTCTTATTTACACCTTTTAAGCGTTTAGCTTCTCTATTCTAGGCTTGTGTATCTAGTGCTAAAGGCTTAATAGTTATTCTATGCAATGCTAGCTAGCGTTCTACCTCTAGTTTTACTATTATAATCTTATTATTAGCTTTAATAACCTTTACACTAATATTATAATAGTTCTTTAGAAAGAGGATAAAGATTATAAAAGCTTTAATAATTAATTTAGTAGGCCTATTATCTTTAAAGTAAAGGTCTTACTAAAGGCTAGAATACTTATTAGTAATTAGCATTTAACTCTACTCTTTTATAATGCTCTATGCTTTATATGTATAAAAATTAATTAATAGTCTTTTACTAGGTCTACTATTACTACTTTATAGTGTGTAGCTAATTTATTATTATATCTTAGCTTTACTATAACGTACTTCATGGGCGAGTTGCTCACACACCTGAGTCGCTCACTTTTGCTAAGACCCCACTAAACCACCCTTCCTACACTAATGCATTCCCCATAACACTACTTAGACGCGCTAAAAGAATGTTAGATATAGCTTACGCTCTAAGCTTTTAAATAAGACATAAAACTCTTAAAGAAATGTGCTATAGCTATATGCAAGGTCTTGTAAAAGATAATAAATAACTACAGCGCTAGACAACCTTTACAAGCTAATTCTACAGCT